CATTTTTACTGACTGTGTTTTTTTGTAAACGAAAGGAAGTGCATTCCAAAGCCGGAATCCTGGTGTGACTGAAATACCTTTGGATTGTGATGCACCAAATTTTAATTAGGTCCCTGCGGATCGAAAACATATTTCAGAATTTCGGTTAACATTTATTGTAACTGGTTAGTGAATGCATAGATTATGGAAGTGCTGTGACTTAAGGCAATCTGCGTGGATGAAGGATTCAAAGTTTCAACTAATTTTTTATGCGTTTCGGAACTTTAAGTACGCTCATCAGCAGACATGCTCTTTTAAATCTGCCTCGTAATCAGCATAGCAAAGAGGGTGGCGTACACCGTGTTCTCCTTGACGTCGTCAAACACAGTGCACACATAGGTATTACTAGAGTTACAACAAAAAAGATAATGGTAGCCAACTCGCTACTAAAGCAGATGCCCTAGCTCATGAAACGTCGACCGAACTTCCCAAATTCGATTTGAACAAATTACTCACGTAGCTTTAGTAAATTGATAATCATGCAGTCTAATCTCAAGACATTTCAGTCACGTCAGAATGACGGCCCTTGTGGGAGCTCCTTTCTGACCACTTGCAAAAAGTACTACACAAGTAGCATGCAGTTTCATTGATCTTTGAAGTCATCATAAATTTCAGTAGCAAGTTACGCCTTCTTCAAAATTTGTACGAAAAATAGTTTGAAAAAGTTCCTAATTATGAGATCTACGACGGTGAAATTTTTACTCACAATAAATCTTGTCTGTTAGTAATGTTGCCCATACAATATGCAACAGTACCCACATCCACTGCAGAATCTTATGGGCACTATGCGAACCCCTCTTCATAACGTAGACAAATGTGTAAATTGCCTTAATTGGAATGTATGCAGCACGCAGTTCGTAAACCTAGAATGTATGTTTAACAGCCGGTAGGGTTCAAAACTAGTGGGCCATTTAAAGTTTGTTTTTTTAAACCACAAGGCACTATTTTTTAAGTAAACATTTTGAAGAATGTATTAATTGCTACTACATGAATGTAACAAAATATAGGTTGGTGCACACCTCCTATAAAATAGGTTTATGGAGGCATTGAAAATCAATGCGAAATATGCATACTGCTTATGCAGTCATGGTTTGCATAGCATGCTTTGTGTAGGCGGTCAGGAAGAAGCTCGTTCAAAAGCTGAAATATCTTGGGATTTGGCTGCATGCTACTCAATATGATAACTCTACTTAAGTAATCTCTTCGAATCGAAGAAAAGATTTCAGAATTTTGGTTGAAATTTTAGGCGACAGGGAATCTACTACACTCTTCAAAACGGTGCAGAAGGGATCCTGATTCGCTGTTTATTCACGTCACTGTCTGGTCACACAAAATAGGCATAGTATGACCTAACTCATGCTATACGATAATGAAGATGAAGATTCGCATTTTTTTGATACCTAAAACGTTGTCAGTTTTAATTATTTGCCTAAGCCGTTTGGAAAAATGTAATTTCCTCATGCAGAGCACGTTTGGAGTAACTTTACCCGGCAAAATGTTTACCAATTTGAGCCACCTTTTACCTCAGCAATTTCCTACGTCAGCAACTGTCCCAGTTAGCGCACCAAGGGGCAATAATATGAACTGAAAGCATTTTTCAAACCACGTGGCGCCTACCTATAAATTTATTTGTGTGCAAAAGCAGGTTATTTTTAGTAACGAAAAACACCGCCTTTCGAGTAACAAAAGTCTGTTTTGTAGGTTTGGGCACTAATAGTAGTGACTGCATAGGATTTGTTTAACACAAGTAAACCTAAAAAGCCAACCCTGAAGCGATCATTCAAACTTCTGGGCATATGGTAGAAAAATTTCTTATGCCGTCGTTTATCACTAATGTGTAATTTAGAAACAGAAGCAGTAAAGCGTTAACATTTTCGGGGACATTGAAATACTTGCATGGGACAGTTATACTCGAAGAATGAAGGCTAAAAGTAAATTAAATACGTACGATGGCTTTGATTTGAAAACAGACGTGAATTCTTCTATCTGTGCAACAAATCGTCTATAGTGTTTGGGGAAGTGAACAGACAGATCAACCGTTCCCATCTTTGGACGGTGAACATGGGCGGCGAAGAAAAGGGAGACTGGAATGGGCAGTTCTGGCTCATTCGCCGTCACCGGTTAGGCCTGCGAGGCTTAAATCCGCGACCTCTTGATCAGAAGCCCAACGCTCTAACCATTGAGCCTCACGCTCCTTGTCCTGCTGGTTTAGATCGCGAGATATTGACAATTGAC